TAAAAAATGTTTATGGGAATGAAAAATACTAAAATTATGTAGTTTTTCTCTTAAAACCAGAAGTTGTCGTTTTTGTTTCTGGTGGGACTGATATATTTTAAAACTACAAATAAGATGCTATAATGTGATGCAAAAAAAGTTTCATAAAAGAAAAGTTGAAATTTTCGATCTCTTTGATCACTTCCTGTGACGACCGGTAGTAACAGCGAACTATGTTAATCCAAATTGTTTTGCCTACTCATCAAGATCTACCACTTGTATAAGTTTTGTGTCTTAATCTCTTACCGTTTACAAGATCTAGCTATGATAACTTCTCAATTTGAGGACAGGAAATCACGCGACCGGAAGTGGATTTTAAAAATATATATATATGAGGTTACTGTAGATATTTCCAGTCTAAATAACATATCTTAAAATAATGACAAATACTTTATGATAAAAAATATTTATGGGAAAGAAAAAGACTCAAATTATGTAGTTTTTCCCTTAAAACTGGAAGTTGTCGTTTTTGTTTCCGGTGGGACTGATATATTTCGAAACTACAAATAAGATGCTATAATGTGATACAAAATAATTATCATAAAAGAAAAAATTGAAATTTTCGATTTTTTAGATCACTTCCTTTGACGACCGTAAGTGACGGCGGACAATCTTAACCCAAATGGTTTTACCTACTTATCAAGATCTATTACTCATATAAGTTTGGTGTCTCATCTCTTACCGTTTCTGAGATATGACTCGGACAATACTTTTTTTGAAAAAAGCAGAAATCGGACATATCTGACGACCGGAAGTGAACTGTAAAAAACTGAAAACTGCATTTAAAAGATATTTTAACTCTCTATCATCCCTGAAAATTTCATGAAAAGCCGTCCAGTCATCTCTGAGAAATCGTCAAAAGAAAAAGGGAAAAAAATAATAAGAAGAAAAAACAGTGGAATCACTACAGTAGAGACTCGCTATTACGGTGACGGTTTTATACGATAGAACGCTTATTACGTTGTAAATTCAAAGCACAAAACCATTTCTTAACAAATCTATACAAAAAAGAACCGTTTATTACGTTGTCCAAAAACGCCAGGTCTCAGTATTACGATGTAAAAATTCTGTCAAAATTTTTTTCACTGCGTGTTTAAGTGAACTGTAGACACTTAAAACGCTAAAAAACTGGAACACCTGTGCTTTGAAAGAGTGTTAACTTCAGGGCAGTTAGGTGAAAATTTCATTGCAACCTGGACTGTTCCAGCGAGCCCAGCAGATTTGGAGACGTGCCAAAGCCATTGTTAAACAATTAAAGTTTACTCATAAATCTAGCTTCTTCTTTATCTATCTCTGTAATTTTTTTTACATTTGTTTTATTCTTTATTTCATACTTAGTTTAATAAATCAATTTAATAAATAAAAGGTTATATTTGATATTATGCATGTATGCTGTACACAGGTACACATAATGTGTAATTTCGTTTGCAAATAAACTGCGTGAATAAACAGCTTGGGTATCAAACATAATTTGGACAAAATTTGAACTCCACTACAAACGTTTTAACAGCTTGGGTAGTGGCTTGGACTACCTCTCAGTTGTCAGCAGAAATACAAATCAATAATTGCTGAACTGCTAATTGACCTCTGTTCAGTAATTTAAAAAAAATATTTTGACAGATTGCTTGTCTATTTACTTTGACCTTTTTATTTGAATAAAAAAAAATGTTGCTGTTTATTTAGAAATTACTTTTAATTGAATACAAAGAGAATAAAATAATCAGAATTTTGGTTGTTGTTTATACAGAAATGACTATGACTACGAAGACATTGAAATTTTCACGAACGCATTATCTGGACAGAAACGAAAGTGAAAGTATATGTTACAGAAAATGGCGGCAATTAAAAGAAGATTGTCGAAATTTCTATTAAAAAATGTGCTCTATGCTTTTACTTTGATGGAAAAGGAAGAAATAGCATCATGGAAATAAGTTTTAAAGATAAGTAATCAATGAATTAGGTGTATATAGCATATTGGTTAAGAATTCGAGCATAAAAAGGAGATAGAAGGAGAAAAATACACCCCCTAATACAATCACACGTTTTCCAAACGATGTTTTACTATTGCCCTCGGTATTACGATATTTTACCGTTACAAAGTGAACATCGTAATAACGGGGTTCTACTGTATAAGGTCTTCCGTCTGAAACGGAAGACCTTAATAAGAAACAGAGTAAAAACAATATGTTCCCCAACTTCGATTTTCCAATATTACCTAGAAATTTAACCAAATTTAGCATAAAGCATTTATGGGCGAAGGGGAACAAAAATTATGAATTTTATGGTCCCTGTCCCCCTGGGGCCTGAGGGGTGGGACCAAAACTACTAAAATTAATGCAATCTTTAAAAATCTTCTTCTTTACTCCTGGACATCAAGCATTCAAACTGTTTGCATGATTGTAATCAGCATTGAGTTCTCTTCCAAAATTGTGAAATACATGGCCCTGGGGTCAGGGGTTCTTAGGTTCTAGGGTGGGGCTATATAGATTATGTACTAAAAATGCATTATTTCTTTGAAAATCTTCTTCGCTGCTCCTGAGCATTATATAGACTAAATAAATACATAGTTATGTTGAGTAAGGCTGCCTCTTCCGAAATTATGAATTTCATGGCCCCAGGGTCAGGGGTTCTTAGGTGCTAGGGCAGGGCTAAATAGATTACATAGTAAAAATGCAATCTTTCTCTGAAAATCTTCTTCTTTGCTCCTGGGCATTAAATAAACTAGATAAGTACATAGTTCTGTTGAATAAGGCTGCTGCTTCCAAAATTGTGAATTTCATGGCCCCAAGATCAGGGGTTCTTAGGTGCTAGGGCGGGGCTATATAGATTTTAAAGTGAAAATACATTAATTCTTTAAATATCTTCTTTTCTGCTCCTGAGTATTAATCCGATGAACTATGTACATAGTTATGATGAGGAAGGATGCCTCTTCCAGATTTGTGAATTTCAGGGCCCCAGGATTAGGGGTTTTGGTCTTAGGGCAGAGCTCTAATGGTTATATAGTGAAAATGCATAAATTCTTCGAAAACTTTTTCCTTTGCTCCTGGGTATTATACCAATGTTCGAAGTACATATTAATGATGATGAAAGCTGCCTCTTCCAAAATAGTTAATTTCAGGGCCCCTTGGTCAGGGTACTGGGGGTGGGTGGGTGGGGGTTACATAGTCTGAAAATAAATTAATGCTTTGAAATCTGCTTTTTGGTATTAATCAACCATTTATGATGAAATAAAATTTATAATAAAACTTCCAGAATTTCGAAATATGTGGTCAGAGGTTCCTGTTGGGTGGGGTGCACAACTGGTTATTAAGTGGAAATGCATTTTCTCTTTGTTACTCTGATCTACCTCCGGGTATTAAGTAACCAAAGTAAGCAAGCTAAGTGTATAGTTATGATAAGCAATGGTACCTCTTTCAAAATTTTGAATTTCATGGCCTTTGATTTAAACGCGAACCAATTCAATTGTTGGAAAGTTGTTACATGATACACAGGTGACCTTTAAGGCCCCTGGGCCTCTTGTTCATTTTTGGAATGACCTTGACCTTTGATCTTTGGATAAATTTTAAGGTCAAAGGTCAATGAATATTACACAGTTGGTTCCATGTCTCTACAACTTCTCGTTTTGAAAATTTTTAATTATTTGTAAAATTCAAAAACCTTCAGGGGCAATAACTCATTGAAGGGGTTTACGAATCCCCATGTTCCCCATATAACCAAATATGCATGTAAGATATCAACAATAGATATATTCTTGTTTTTTATACGAATTCTTCATCAAAATTTTATTTTCAAATGTTTTTTAGATTTTACATGAAATATTTAAGGAAAAGAAGGTATTTCAATAAATTGCATTTTTAAAAGGGCATAACTCTCAAAACCGATACATGCAAATCAGGTATTTGAAAAATAATTAGAAACATTTGATTTACATCAGCGGTTTAGAACTCTATTCTTCCAATACATTTGAAAGACATTTTTTAAAGTGTATATCAACCAATTTCTTCAAATGTTTATTTCAAAACAGTGTTTCAGACTTTCTGCAGAACTGTGTATTTTCAGGAAAAAGTTGTCTCCTCGTCACTTCCATTCACTAAGCAAAAACGCTGACTGTAGCCCGACATCCTTGTGGAAAACTGACCATAACGACTGTTAAAGTGCTTAAACCATCATGAAAGTTGGTGGTCAATGAAAAGAATATTCAATCTACAGTATGAGTTGTTGATTTAAGGGCTATATTTAGATTTATGAGACTATTCAACCAAAATTCTTGGCAGTGCCTCTCGGTTTGCAGACAAAGTTGGAAACCTTGTGAATTTATATATAGAGAGTGGGGTAGAAATTTTTATAAAATATTAGTTTAAGGAAATTTTCTGAATTGATAGTATAGATTATATCACAAATGTGTCATCCATATATAATTTATGTGAAAAAAGTCTAACAGGCCAGGGGGTATATATTAGGGGGGGGGTGTCCTGTCCTCAAGCACCTGTGTGATTAGCAAATGCCCTTCTTCCAGAATTTTGAATTTTATGGCCCCTGGGTCAGGGGTACGATAGAGGGCAGAGGGGGGCTCTACTTTTATACTGAAAATGAATTAATTGTTTAAAATTGCTCCTTGGTATTAATCAAACATTTTTGATAAGCAAGGGTTCCTTTTCCAATATTGTGAAATGTGTTGACATAGGGTCAGGGGTTCATGTGTGGTAGGTTACTACTGATTATTGATGAATATTACTGATTAGTTGAAATGCATTTTTTGTTTCCCTACCCTGACTATGGGTATTAAGTAACCAAACTAAGCAATTGCTAAGTGTAAAGTAATGATGAGCAATGGTGCCTCTTTCAATATTGTGAATGCGATTTTGTCTAGTTTAAAACATGAACCAAATTCAATCATTGGAAAGTTCTTGCATTATTCTCAGGTGACCTATAAGGCCCATTGGTCTCTCGTTATTTTTTAGGAAGCTCATCATTATGTTATCATGGAAACCCAGTTATTGCAGAAAGGGAAAGAAGCACAGTCAGCAACTGCCAAGGCCAACAAGGAGAAAAGGAAGCAAGAGATTGGAGGATTTTTCAAATTTGTAGTGAAACAGGCAGAAAAAAGTAAGAGAGACAATAATTATAAAATGTCTTTTGTATGCTTGTCAAATGAAATGTTTGATTGCATTATATTGAAACAGTATCCATTCCAGGCTATCCATAAAAAATTGTTTGTTTGGAATAAATTAAAAATTTTTAGCTCACCTGAGCCAAAGGCTCAAGTGAGCTTTTCTGATCACATTTTGTCCATCGTCCGTCCGTCTAGCTGTCCATCTGTAAACTTTTCACATTTTCAACTTCTTCTCAAGAACCACTGGGCCAATTTTGACCAAACTTGGTACAAATCATCCTTGGGTGAAGGGGAATTTAAATTGTTAAAATAAAGGGCCAAGTCCCCTCACAAGGGGAGATAATCAAGAAAAGACAAAAATAGGGTGGGGTCATTAAAAAATCTTCTTCTCAAGAACCACTGGGCCAGAAAAGCTGAAACTTATATGGAAGCATCCTGGTACAGTGTAGATTCTAAATTGTTCAAATCATGACCCCCGGGGGAAGGGCGGGGCCACAATGGGGAATTAAAGTTTTACATAGGAATATATAGGAAAAATCTTTGAAAATCTTCTTCTCAAGAACCACTGGCCCAGAGAAGATGAAACTTATGTGGAAGCATCCTGGGGTAGTGTAGATTCTAAATTGTTCAAATCATGACCCCCGGGGGAAGGGAGGGGCCACAATAGGGAATCAAAGTTTTACGTAGGAATATATAGGAAAAATCTTTGAAAATCTTCTCAAGAACCACTGGGCCAGAAAAGCTGAAACTTATGTGGAAGCATCCTGGGATAGTGTAGATTCTAAATTGTTCAAATCATGACCCCTGGGGGAAGGGCGGGGCCACAATGGGGAATCAAAGTTTTACATAGAAATATATAGGAAAAATCTTTAAAAATCTTCTTCTCAAGAACCACTGGGCCAGAAAAGCTGAAACTTATATGGAAGCATCCTGGTATAGTGTAGATTCTAAATTGTTCAAATCATGACCCCGGGGAAGGGAGGGGCCACAATAGGGAATCAAAGTTTTACGTAGGAATATATAGGAAAAATCTTTGAAAGTCTTCTCAAGAACCACTGGGCCAGAAAAGCTGAAACTTATGTGGAAGCATCCTGGTATAGTGTAGATTTTAAATTGTTCAAATCATGACCTCTGGGGGAAGGGAGGGGCCACAATGGGGAATCAAAGTTTTACATAGAAATATATAGGAAAAATCTTTGAAAATCTTCTTCTTAAGAACCACTGTGCCAGAAAAGTTGAAACTTATGTGCACATGGAAGGATCCTGGGGTAGTGTAGATTTCAAAATGTCTAAATTATGATCAGTGGGGTAGGGTGGGGATGCATTATGTATTACAAGGAGGAAATCTGGTAAAGAACAGAATGGTCAAAGCTTCTCAGGTGAGCGATGTGGCCCATGGGCCTCTTGTTATTAAAAATCTCAACAAACTGTAAAAAGCGCATTTTGTGACTCTTTTGGAGGAAAAAAGAATCTACCATCAACAAAGAATCCTGATTTTGCACAAATCTTGCACTACATAAGTGTTTTGTGTGTTGCATGTTCCAACAGGCCAAGAATTGATTAAATAAAAAAAAATATGTATCTTTTAACTTTTGCTAAATAAAATTTTTCAGGAGGGGCATTTTAATGAGGTGGGAGCAATTCCAAACAAACAATAATTTTATTTTGGACCCATAATTTATGTACATATGAATGCATTGACAGGGGGACCAAAATTAAAGGCAGTCCAGTTAATAAAACAGATATTAGAGGTAATGAGGGATGGATTTATGCTGTCTGCATATGGTTTGGACTACAGCAATATACTGTTGAAAGATGTTTTGACAGTCAGAAAGTATTGTACAGAAATCACAGAGAAGACTTGGCATGGTAGTAAAGTTATCAAAATTAAATTGATATTGTTGCATAAAATACTTTTGATTATTGTTGGCTCACCTGAGCCGAAGGCTCAAGTGAGCTTTTCTGATCAAAATTTGTCCATTGTCTGTTTTTGATGTTGTCATCGTTGTTGTGATCGTTGTAGACTTTTCACATTTTCATCTTCTTCAATTAAGCTGCAAGAAAAGACTGCACATTATATATATGCCAGAAAAGGTTGTATCTACTGTTTCGTTTCCGTGTAAGTCGAGGTCAAGCCACTCTTATTTTTAGCTCAAACTTGTAAACAACATTCAACCAGAACATGCAAAGGTGAAAAAATGTTCTAACAACTTTTTGAAAAGATTTCATCAAAATTTTTGGTCTACTTACGTTCATTCTATGTACTTGAGACCATGGTTACTATGGAAACCTATTTAACTTTTTTCTGCATGGATACAATGGGGAGGAAGAAGTATTGAGGAATATTTTCGATATGGGGCAAACTGAAATTATTTTTACTTTTATTTTTCTCCTTAAATTTAGAATTTTTAGGTTCTGAAACCTGTAATTTTCTGAAACCTATTACTTTTAGGAATTGAACAAAATTTTATCTGGTCATGCAAAAATTCTAATTTGTCAATTTTCCTGGCTCCTTTGTGCACCATGGAGTCTCTTTAATTTAATCATGTAAAAACTACACCATTTCTCAATAAAAACTACACCATTTCTCAAACAACAACAATTTGTAAACTGAAGATACATGAATTTCTGTAAAAAATAAGAGGTCAATATACAGAAATTTCAAACCACCCATGTATTGTAAGTAGAAGTAAGAAGTTTGTTGATAAGGTTGAATTCTTTTAAAAATGGTTCAGCTTACTATTTAAGTTTATCTATGAAAAAAATATACCGTAATTTATTAATATGCTGAGTTGAATGGGAAAAAAATTATTTCAGACTTGATTACTGTGTACTGTAAATTGTTTGGGGACCCAGATTGTGGTTTGGATACAATCTTGCTATCCAGGATCATTCGGTTGCTGATTTCCGCTGCTACTGTGCGCTGTCAACTCAGACCTAAGAAATTCCTGTCATTCTTCACAGAAGTCTTCATGGACATCAGGTATTTTCTTCCTTTACTTGTCATCACCATCATCACATCACTATCGCTACCATCATCATCACCAATATCATTTGTTTCAACTTTCAAGATAATCTTTTGTCCCCTTGCTTAATTTCACTGAAAGTGGGGGATCAATGTAATTAAGAAATAAACAACAATGTTAAAAAGTTCTCTGGGAAATGAACTTTTAGTTGGTCACGTGATCAAATCAAATCAAATTTGATCACATACCAAACTAAAAGTTCATTTCTCTGTGAACTTTTTAACACTTTTGTTTATTACTTATATTTACATTTGAGACGAATAAATTCCGAGTGAAACTGCATTTATTACACGAACAGGCGTTCGGATTGCTTTGTTGTGACACAATGACGTAGGGGACCAAGAAGTTGTTTGGTCTTGAAATTTTGATTCGCTCCAACAATTGAATATTTACAATGATGTTCAGCAGTCCAGTTCAGCAATTCTTTGTTTATAATGTAAGAACAATGATTCCTACTGAGAATAATCTTACTATTTAAAGGGTAATGGAAATGGGTGGCAATTCTTTTATATGCTTTAGAACGTGGCGAAATAAAACCAACAAAAAAAACCGCATCGAAATCGATGCACGATTAACGGAGTTATTGCCCAATGAAAGCGTCTATTTTTACCTGTTATGAAAATCCAATCAAGCAAAAATAGAATTGATCGAAAACGAGGCTATATCACTGTGACGTCACTACATGGACAGATTAGGCGGATTAGTATGGATAACAACGAGATTAGTTCCGACAACACGCCGATATCAGCCTTGATATGACAGATAGGTCTTCAATATTTGATGAACCAGATGGACTGAATGTGGAGCTTGGTATAAGACCTTACCAGTTTGAACAAGAAGCTGATTCTGACGAGGAATTGGTAGTTGAAAACAATGCACACCCAGCAAAGACGAGCGCTTGGGGAATAATGACCGGTTAGAAAATGGCATTTTTTCAATTAAATTGCTTAATATGACAGATGTAGTTCAACATTCAGACTTAATGACTATATAAGGCAACATAAATTCATTAAATTGCGTAATTTATTCAGGGTATGGCTGAACCATGAACATTTTCTGCTGAAAAGTGATTGCCTTTAAGGCTTCATACTTTTGCCTTCTTGTTTGATTACTGGCAAATCTGTTACCAAAAATCACATTCAATATAGGATCATGATAACCCTCCTATAAATTATGATGGCTAAATTTTAGGTAAATATTTTGTTATTATCTTTATTTAATATTGGACCTATGTAGATGTAAGCATATCTTAGCTGAGTTTTTTCTCAGGATTTGAGATTGAACTTGAGTAAAAACTTAAGATTTTTTCGAGAAATCCAAGCAAGGTAGTGCAAATTCAAGTTTGTTCAAATCAATCCCCAGGGGTAGGGTGGGGCCAATGTCCGATCAAAGTTTTACATAGGAGTATATAGGAAAAATCTTTAAAAATCTTCTCAAGAACCACTGGCCCAGGAAAGATGAAACTCATGTGGAATCATCCTCAGGTAGTGTAAATTCAAGTCTGTTGAAATCATGGCCCCTGGGGCTAGGGTGGAGCCAAAATGGCCGATCAAAGTTTTACATAGGAATATATAGAAAAAATCTTTAAAAATCTTCTTCTCAAGAACCACTGGGCCAGGAAAGATGAAACTCATGTGGAAACTTCCTCAGGTAGTGTAAATTCAAGTTTGTTCAAATCATGACCCCTGGGGGTAGGGAGGGCCAGAATGGCCGATCAAAGTTTTACATAGGAGTATATAGGAAAACTCTTAAAAAATCTTCTCAAGAACCACTGGACCAGGAAAGATGAAACTCATGTGGAATCCTCCTCAGATAGTGTTATTTCAAGTTTGTTCAAATCATGACCCCTGGGGGTAGGGATTAGCCAATACGGCCGATCAAAGTTTTACATAGGAGTATATAGGAAAAATCTTTAAAAATCTTCTTCTCAAGAACCATTGAGCCAGGAAAGATGAAACTCATGTGAAATTATTTTCAGGTAGTGTAGATTCAATTTCGTTCAAATCTTGACCCCTGGGGCTAGGGTTGGGCCAAAATGACCGACCAAATTTTTACATTGGAATATATAGTGAAATCTTTTTAAATCTTCTTTTCAAGTACTTCAAAGCCATGATAAGTAATATTTATATGGAATTATCCTCAGGTAGTGTAGATTCTAGTTCGTTCATATCATGATCCCCTGGGGTGTTGAAATTCAAGGGGCCCCCCCCCCCCCCCCCCCCCCCAACCTCAGTAAACTTTTAGTTCTGATATGATATGCGCTTTTTCCTAGTCGCAGTGCTCAGTGAGCGCTGTGGCCCCTGGGTCTCTTGTTTTGAAGTTCACTTAGTTCTGCAAGCGGCATGTCGTCTGTGAAGTCGTCATCTTCGTCTTCATTGTCTGATGTCTGTTGATCATTCGTTTGTGATTTAGAGAAGCCGGCCTTCCGGAGCAATTTTCAACACATTGAGACAATATCATGCACCATGATTTGTAGAGCCATTTAATGGCATTTTTATGTTCCCCAAAGGGAGTTTGGGAACATATTGTTTTTACTCTGTTTCATATTATTAAGGTCTTCTGTCTCCAACGGAAGACCTTATTGTTTTCGTTCGGTTTCTTTTTCCCTATTATTATTATTTTTTTTTACCGATTTTTGCATGCGATTTCTCGAAAACAGCTCTCCCGATTTTCACCAAACTTTCAGATCTGATAGATATTCATCTGAACCTTGTCGGAAATTTTCGTCGTTGATGACGTCACTTCTGGTCGTGAGATATGGACGATTTTCTGATTTTTAGAGGGTCGGCTTGTCCTGAGATCTCCTCCTAAACGACTTAAGATATCGACTTGAGATTTTCAGTGAAGGTAGAGGAAGGATAGTAGATGTGACATTTTGCATATAGACCTTTCCAGGTAAAAAGGCATCGACGCTCACCTGGACTGGAAAAATAGGCTCATACGCATCTCGCAAAAATTGATACGTTTTCCTTTATATCTTTTTACTTGTTAATATTTTGTTAAGACATATATAATAAAAGATGTGCAATATAGTAAGACCTTTCATTTGATATCAAGAAAATGGGGTTAGCCCTTCAAATTAGGGGCATAGAGGGGCCAAAAGTCTCTCGTCTTTAACTCTTTAATGAATCAATATTTTGTGATACATTATTGAAGCAAAGATATTTAACTTAACGATTTGCAACAAAATATACTAAAAATTTGATCATATGTTACGTAATAAAGGGTCACAGGGGGCTAGAATGCTAAATCTGTGACGCTTTATATCTCGAAAAGCGTGAATATTTTGATAAGCAATATTGAACAATAGATGGTCAAAATAATGTTCCCAACAATATGCATACTTTTCATTTGTTCATTTTTTCCGTCGACACTTCCGTTGTAAACCGGAAGTACGTGTAATTTACATACATGTATAGTGATTTTTAAAAAATTTTCTAATGAATGTAATTGTTCATTATAGAGATTTAAAGAATGCGTAGCATCTTAATATTTCCACCGGAAGTACGGTTCGTTCAAACTGGAAGTTGTCTAAAAATGAGTATTTTTCATCGAAACTTTCATGGATGATTACTGCATGCTTGATGTAGAATTGAAAGTAGATTTGAGCACATAAGGTCGCACCGGAAGTGGATGAGTAGAAACGGAAGTTGATTGGAATTGATAGATCATACATTTCTTTGTGTTTCTATACATATTTTGAAGAATTCTTTGACATTTTTTATCCTATCAATGGAATTATCCCAACACAGGTCTTATTCCATCAGATATCGGACGGAAGACCTACTCGTTGCTTGCAACAAGATCGCATCTAGTATTCTTACTATTATCGTATTGACCAAATTTTGGAAATGACCTTTGTCCGGTCCATTTCTCCAGAACAGCTTAAGATATGAAAGTTAACTGTGTCAGATATCATAGATCATGACTTGGAAAATGTGTCCACGAGCATTTTTTCCATCGTCAATACTTCCGGTCGTCACAGAAAAGGGAATAAAAACTCGATTTTGAACATTTCTTTGTCTTTCTTTCTTCTTTTTTTCTGTGATATTCATGGTGAAAGTTAAAGCCCCTTTTTGATGATTTTACATATAAACAGTTTCTTGATTTGATTTAGAAGGAATTAAATATCTTTGAATATCTGAGAACTTTCGCAAACGTAGGTTCAACGTTTCCATAAACACTAAAAATATTCATTTCATTTTCTCATAAATAGACTTTGCGGGGGGAAAACCCATTGTACAAGTGTGCAGGTATAGTCTTTCTCGGGATGGCGAAAGGACCTGTAGAAAAGCTTCCCTGGTTCAATGGAGACGAGATATTAGTAAATAAAATGTTTATAACATATAATATGTGTGTGCTTCTTATTCCCCCCCCCCCCCATTTCTTTTTTGTCAACTGTAAAAGACATATTCCCTCCACCCCACCCCACCTTTCTCACTTATTGAAATGAATGCTAATTTCGCTTTAATGTTTTTACATTCTACATAAAATGACCTTGACATTTATATGACAAGACACTCTTCTTGAAGTTTAGAAAATGATAAGGCTTTATTCTTTCTACAAAAATAATGGTAATTATATAACATTTACAACTTACAGGTAATACAAGTCGCAGATATAACATTTACAACTTACAGGTAATGTTTTAAAAGTTTCATTCATAAAATTCAGTTCCCCTGATGTTATTTGATATTTTGCTATAATTCATTTTACTTCTGTTTTGTCTCTATATTTTATAATAATTTTATTTAGAATTATTTCATATTAAAAAATAACGACTGTCAGCTGCATTTATTAGCATTTCCCGTTTTCTTGTATATGTATTACTTTCATATTAATAGTTTCATTAGATAATATAAAGAAAAATAGAAACTTAATTTCCATCATTTTTATTCATTCATAAATCCTTGGATCCGTTCCTGCGGCTGCTCGAAGCCCTCATCACCACAGTAAACAAAACATTCATCACGCCGAAAATGTTCATGATTCCGCTAAACTAAGAAAGTTAACACATGGTTTATCATTTCATAACAAACATCAGCCCTGTCTAATGCAGAAGTGCTCGA